GGTGACATCAATGGTTGAACTCTTAATGGAAAGGTTGGTGGTTTAAACCCACCCAGAAGTGCCTTTGAAGTAAGGCCTGGCTATATCCACTTCCAAAAGGTCACAGACTTGAAAATTCTCTGGGGTTCAGTTCTACTCTGTACAAATGGGGTTGCCATGAGACAGAATTGACTCAAAGGCAAAAAACAATAGCTTACCTCATGGAGGGAGATGGGTTGGTTTGACGGAGGTCATTTGGCTTGTCTCCTGTTAAGGACTGAATAAGGAGCTCTGGTGGTGCAGTGCCTAAGGCATTTGACTGCTAACCAGAAGGCTGGCAGTTGAAACCCACCAGTCTCTCTGTGGAAGGAAGATGGGCAATCTACTTCTGTAAAGATTTACTGCCTTGGAAATCCACTGGGGGTCACTATGAGTCAGAATCAACTCAACAGCAGTGGGGTTTTTTGGTATGGATTGAATGGTGTCCCCAAAAAAGATACGTTGAAATCCTAACCCCAAGGTTGTGACCTTGTTTGTAAACAGGGCCTTTGAAGGTTTATTAGTTAGCATGATGTCATATGGAACTACCAGTTGCTCTAGAGTCGAGTCAGCAGCCCAGGGTGGTATATTCATGCCTTTACATGGATTATCTCACTGAATGCTCACAGCAGTTCTGTGGGGTAGGAATTATTATTATTATCCTTACTTTCTGATTTGTTAAGGTTAAGGAGCTTCCCCAAGGAGACTCAGCTAGTAAGTGGCAAGACAGGATTTGAACCCAGGCCATCTGCTCTAGCTACTGTGCACTCATCTGCCCTGCTCTTCTACCAGGGGCCTATGACTCTCTCTCCCTTTCCTTCCTTCCCTGCCCACGCTAGCCCTATGCCCTGCCTTCCTCGTTCCCCCAGTCTCTTGCTTCTGATTTCATAACCACAGAGTGCTCTGTGCAGGCTGCTCCTGGTCCATCTCCACGTGACAATTCCTTCCCGTCCCCCTGGCAGCCCAGGCTGGTGGCTCTGGCTTGGCCGTGCAGTGTCCAACCCCATCTCCCTCTCTGGCCTGCCCTCCTGAGGCCTCCACCATCTTCCACAGTTGAGAAACTCTACCTGCTTCCTGCTGCAGCCTGGGAAATAGATCCCCACCCCTACCCTTTTTTTTCACGTGGTGAAAAGAAGCCAACTGTGGGGCCAGACAGGGAATCAGGCCAGTTCACCAAACATGTATTAAGTACCTTCTGTGTGCCTGGTCGAATAAACGGTTTGTACTTGGCTGCTAACCATAATTCATGTCCACCTACTGGTGCTGCAGAAGAAAGGCCTGGCAATCTACTTCCATAAGATTCTAGTCATTGTGAATGCTATGGAGCAGTTCTGTCCTGAAACACATGGGGTCACCAGGAGTTGGAATTGACTCCACAGCACTGGGTTTGGATATTTTGGTTTGTGTGCCAGGCAGAATCCCTGGTAATGCAAAGAGTTAACGTGCTCAGCTGCTAACCGAAAGGTTGGTGGTTCAAGTCCACACAGAGGCACCCTGGAAGAAAAGCCTGACAATCAACTTCCGAAAAAATCAGCCATTGAAAATCCTATGGAGTGCATTTCTACTCTTGTCACTGTGAGTAGGAATCGGCTCGCCTGCAGCTGGTTTGTGTGTGTGTGTGTGTGTGCCAGGCACGGTGTGACCTGGGCACATCCCTGAACCTCCTTGAGCCTCAGTTTACCAATCTGAACCTGGGGATGATGATACTAATAATCCCATAGGATTGCCATGTGGATTTTCCAAAGTGTGTAAAATGCCAAACACGTGCCAGGCAGTCAGCACGTGTCGGTGTCCTGTGATCCATGTACATGTGCAGACAGAACAGGAAGGAAGATGGGGACCAGCATTCAAAAGCAAAAAACCAAACTCACTGCCGTGGAGTCAGACCCGACTCATAGCGACCCCTCCTTGGGTTTCCGAGGCGGTATCACTACGAAAGTAGATTGCCCAACCTTCCTTCCAAGGAGTGGCTGGTGTGTTTGAACCGCGGCCTTCTGGTTAGCAGTCAAATGCCTTAGGCACTATGCCACCAGAGCTCCCAAGGGGACCAGCATTACCCTCTTATTTTACAGTTAGAGAAACTGAGGCCCAGACAAAGGGGAATGCCTGAGTTAACCGTGGAGCCTCAGATGCCTGGGTTTTCCAATGCCCAGTTCCCAATCACTCAACAGACGAGTGACTGCATCCCCCTACTCCCCTTAGCTGATTGGAACCCCTTTGGTCCCAGCAGCACAAATACACAGACCTATGGTGAGCATGTATGTTTCAGCTTTATTTCTTTCCATGCCAAGAGGTACAGAGGAGTCAACTGGCGTGAGTGGCGGAGGTGGAGGTGGTGGTGGTGAGCGGGTGGTTCTTGCTGCTCGCTATGGGACGTGGGAGAGGCTGGGGCAGCGCGCGAGCCAGGGAACCGCTGTGTCCATGCAGCCAGCAGCTGGAGCCTCAATGGGGCTGGGACAGCAGGACCACTTTTCCCTCCAGCGTCAACGAGGCTGAGAATGCCAGGCTGTCTGTGGGGAGTGAGGAACTGCCCTGGGGCCTTCAGGGACTCTCCCTACAGTCTTCTCTGAGTAGCTTTGTCATTCTGCCTTGGGTTCCTCTCTGATGGGGGGTTGTCCTCTCACTGCCTCTGCTCCTTCTGCCTGCTGTGGAGGCCTCTCAGCTGCTCCTGGTACCACAAGAAAACCCCCAAGCTGTTCTTGCCTGAATGGAGAATGTGCCGGCCATGCCTCCTGCGGGGGCTGTCTGTTGAGGGATCTCTCTCCTTTTCACCTGCTCCTAAGCAGAGCCTTGGTCTGCTCTGGGTTTTGAGTGTGAATGAGTGTGTGTATGGAAGGGAGTGAGGGAGAGACAGTGTCTTCTGTGTGTGGCTGCAGGGGAGGGTCTAGAGCACACAGAGTCCCACCTCTGTCACCATTTCCCCATGTGACAATGCCTGCGCAGTCTAGCAGAGAACCTTGCACATTCTCTCTTCTTCCTGGGTTGCTGAGCATCCTGCCATCAACAGGGGCTGGATCTGGAGACCCCTGGGCCTGTCAGAGAACACAGGCCGATGACCCCACTTCCAGAGCAATTCCATAGACCTCATGTCTCCTGGCTGGACCTAAGCTCGCATGTGACACAACACTCAGGGCTCATCCGCATCCCCTGCCCCCCAAACAGGAGAACCTCTGTTTTGGCCTCAAAAGTTCCATACTGCAAACCTGACCAGCCTTGCTTTAGGGTCAGGAGAGGATTGAGCTCATTCCCCAGGTGGAGGAACCCCAGCTCTAAAGGAAGCTGCCTGGCACGCCTGGGCCCTGCTCCCCTGCCCTCCCAGCAGACCCTGCCTCTGTGCTAACAGGCTTCTTCTCAATAGCCTCTGAGGAGGGTGAGGGAGGCAGCCTTGGAGAGGAGGCATGAGGGTCCTGATTTGCCACCTTGGGCCAGTCTGGGCGTAGCCCTTCCCCATGGGGGGCAATAACCCTGGCAGTTACTTGGGGTCTCTCAGGGTAGGAAAATGTGCACCGTGCCTCTCCAAGGGTCTGGGAGCAGTGGGGGAGGCGAGAAAAAGAGATGGCCTATGGGATAGGCAGAGTCTGTGCCAGGTGGAAGTCGGGGGAGAATCACGAGGCAAAAACCAGGGAGGAGGCCAAAGGTCCCTGCTCAGCTCCTTTCCAGTGTCCCATTGAGTCCTGCCAGTCTCCGCAGCCTGACACAGAGAGAGACCACAGTCCCCAGCCCTCAGTCTCCAGGCTCGTGAGTATATATCCCCAGCCTCAGGGACCCCCACTCTCCCGCACACTTGACCCTTCAGCCAATCCCTTCCCTCTGTCCTGGGAATCTGTAGGTCAAAGAACAGCACACTTTCATTAAAAAAAAAAAAAAAACTCTCCAACCCATCCCCCCTGTAGGCAGTACATATACCCCTAACAGCTGGGAAGCCCATGGGAAGCTCGCTAGGATGGTCCCAAAGCCTACTTCTAGGAGAGCTTTTGTTGTTCAGGATGACCAGGGGCCAAGGGTACAGGGCATCAGGGTCACCAGAGTGTCAGAGCTGGCCTGGGAGCTGGGAGACCACCTGAGCTACTCTGCTTGAGGACCCCAGCCAGGGTAGAACACGACCTTAGGCTTCTTCTCACTGGCCACCTCAGTGGGGTCAGGTCCAGGAGTTCTTGGATGGCTCCCCAGGCTTCAGCACAGGTAGGGAGCAAGACGCAGGCTGGCCTGTCGCAGCAGACATGGCTGGAACTAGAGTCCTCGGCAGTGGTGCTCCAAGGCTGAAAATTTGGGGAAGCTGTCCATACCTTCTCCTTCCGGTGTGCCTCTCAGCAGCCCCACCTTGACATGGGGACTCTCTCTAGGGCAGCAGTGCATCTCATGTGCCCGTGGGGTTCCAGGGCACATGCTGAGCGTCCACCTGGCCTCTGAGCTCGGGGCACTGAATGGGATTGCAGTGTGCATGGGGCACACAAGGCATGCAAGCAGTCTTTTTGGACCCCTCAAGGAAAATACAAAAGATAAAGTTCCACATCTTGCCCTGGTCCGCAGCCAGGCAGGGAGTCTCCTGCTTCTTTCCCCACCATAGTTGGTTTTATGAGTGCAGCTGGTTTCTTCTCCTTCTGGCAGTTTATGCTGCTTGGTAGACACCAAGAAATTTGGGGTGCGAGAAACAAGCAAGATACTGGGGTCAAAATGCTGGGAAGTGTTCATGAGATGTCCAACATCATTCATTGGTTCAACAGTACATTTCCCTTCCTTTTCTTCCTTCCTTCCCTCATTCCTTCTTTCTTCCTTTTCCAGCTGATCTGGGCTGATAATGGGGTGACGGGGATTTTCCTCCGAGTTTGTGCTTTTGGTGCTTGGAGACAGGCAGGCACTTGGCAGTCACCATCCAGGGCTTAGGGAACTCCAGCCTGTCCTCCATGGCATGTGGGGTGTGTGGGTTCAGAGCTCTCCAGCTGGCCAGGGCTTGCCTCTGCTAGATAGCTCGCTGGTTAACCTTATTTCTTCTGAACTGTAAAGAAAAGAGCGGCATAGAGCTCAGAACACTGGGCCCACTATCTTAGAGTCCCTTTAGGAGGATTTGGGTTTTTGTTTCCTAGTAGGAAAAGGTAACAGGGAGAAAGTACAGGGTTGGTGTCCTCTTTGGTTTGGGGGATCTTGGTGGGACTCAACCACTGCCAATGAGAGCACCATAGTTTTGGTGATTGGTTCAGAGAAGAGCAATGTAACCCTAATTGGGCCAATCAGAATCAACCCTTGGACTTTTGCTATCACTGTTAGGAAAGAGGCACTTTTTTTTTCTTTTCCTGCTTTGTTATTAGACTGTAAAGATGAAGCATCTTACCATTGTAAGGGGAGAGCCTACCCAGAAATGAAAGCAACACAGGGGAAGGCAAGAGTAAGAGAGTAAGAAGGATTTATGTCAACATAGTTTGAGCACCTGGATACAGCCATGCCTGAAGACAGGACAATCTATGCTTGAATATTTTTAGTGGAAACTAACAATTTTCCCTTGCCAATTTAAGTTCAGTAGTTGCCATTCACCATCAAGAGAGTCCTGCCTAAAATGGCAAGCCTCAGCAAAATGAAAAAGACTGAGACATCATAGAGTAATGCTCTGACCTACTGGGCTTGCTGCCTCTCCCTTACAGCATGTCTGTCAGACTCTGCTATACTAGAAGAAACTAAGGCTGAGAGAGATGTTGAACTTGCTCCAGCTCACACAGCTTGAAAGTGGAGAACCTGGGTTTTAGAACTTGACCTTCTGGTAAGTCAAGGTTACCTGTGGCTCCTGGCTGATCCTAGGTCCTCTTCCCCAAGCTGAACACTCCAGCCTCTAGACCCTCTTGAGCTTTAATGAGTGATCTGGGGATCTTATTAAAAGCAGATTGTTTTTCGGTAGACCTGGGGCGGGGCCTGAGATTCTGCATTTCTGACAAGTTCCCTGCTGATTCCACGATGTTGGTCCATGGACCACATTTTGAGTAGCAAGGTATTTAGGGAAAAAGTTAGGGTGATTATTGAAAGTTGGGGAGATGCTTAGGAGCCTCCTGTGTAAAGAGGTAGGTGATGGCCACCTCTGACCTGCATAGCCCAAAGACTCAAACTGCAGGGGCTTTGTGAGCAGCTCAGAACTAGGGAAACTAGTTCCCCTGCTTGGGTAACTCCACTGGGCCACCTTTGGGTGCTCACAAAGTGTTACTTCCTATCTCTCACCATGTGTAGTCTTTACTTCTGCCATATCCTGGGTAAATCAGTAGGGTTGTTAGTGTGTCAAACTCACAGTTTACAAATCAAAGCCATATCCATTATCCCAGGAGCTCTGGTAGCATAGTGCCTAAGGCACTTGAGTGCTAACCAGAAGGCTGGTGGTTCAAACCCACTAGCCACTCCTCAAAAGGAAGATGGAGCAATCTACTTCCGTAGTGATACTGCCTCAGAAACCCAAGGAGGGGTCGCTATGAGTCGGGTCCGACTCGACGGCACATAACAACAACATCCATTATCCCAGGTGACACAAAAGCCTGTGTGCTGGAGGCCTCTTCAGACCATTTGATACATGAAAACACCAAGGCTCAGGACACTGGACAGGTCACCGGACTGTCACAGCTGAGACTTGAGCTCCTGTCCCCTGACTCCTAGGTCTGTGGGTCCTCTTTCCATACCCTTTTCTAGCGCTCCACTCTCTAGGTATCAGACAAGTCAGAAAACCAGGCCCCACTCAGCTGGTCACTGCTGGGGGACTTGATCAGTTTATTGGATGAGAAGGTAAGGCTGTGGCCCCTACATGCTCTTACCTTCCCCCTGCATAGCCCCTGCCCCAGGAGGCTAGGCTGCATCTTCCTGTAGTACCCACACCACGAAAGCTGGCCCCTCTGCTCCTGCAGCTCACCTGTGCACATGTGGGCCTCACCTGTGAAGTTGACAGTCACAGCCACAATGATGATGACAATCCCCAGGATGATGAAGGTGATGCTGAGCAGCCGGGCGAGGCGGCCCAGCCTCCGGGCGCCATCCAGATCCCCCTGTTGCACGCTTCCTCGTGACTGCAGACAGAGAGAGGCAGAGACCTCAGGAAGCCTGTCTGTCAGCCACAGCAGCCCCGTAGCCCTGCAGGTAGCCCCTCGTCTGGGCTTCCAGAACAAACCCTGTATCCACTGCAACCCACACACCAGCAGCCTCTCTAGGGGAGAGAAAGAGGGCTCTTCTTGGAAAAATGGTCTGAGCTCCAAAAATGGCCCAGGGCTCTTGTGGGGACCCTCTAAGCGAGCCTGCCCTTTGTTGGCTGGGGGCAGCTGGAGGCTGCTCCAAGCAATTCAGAGCCCTTCCTTTCAGGACAGTGACAGGCCGGGGTGGTTGTAGAGGCTGAAAGCTTGAGAGCATGGACATCCAAGCCACACTGAGTTGGCAGCTGATAGGCCAGGCCCCTTGAGACCTCAGCTCACCCACTCCATTCTGCAGCCACACCAGGGTCTTTAGTTGCCCCTGTGGCTTCTTCTATGTCCTGATGTGCCTGCCTCCTGTTCCTTGGTCAGCCCCATCTTGCCATGAGAAAAAAACCCACCAATCCTCCCTTCTTCCCAAAGAACCACATCCTTGTTCAGCCAAGCCCATTCCCCAGATCACATGAGAAGGGGGTGGGGCTCTTAGGGATGAACTGGGAAGATGGGGGACTGGCTTTCCCTCCTCACCCCACTTTTCAGGCAGCGTTTTTTTTTTTTTTTTTTTTCCCTTGGCTCTATTTGATGGTGAAATCCAGTGGGTGAGGGTGGGAATGGAGAGTTTAGGGACAGAAGGGATCCTGAGAGGGTCCTTCCTGGGGGACTCGGCAGGAGGTATGTCCCAAGCCAGGCCCATGGTTAAGCCTCAAAGAGGGCCCTGTCCCCTCTGTCACAGATGGCTCAGGTGTCGGCCAGGGGTGGAGGCTGGCCCCCATGACTACCCCAGGTTGCTCCAGCTCTAGAATTCTCACTTTCTTCTTGGACTCTGTGGATTTGCCTTGGCCTCCTTAGGAATAGGCACAGGTGTGATGGCTTTCAAGGCTGCAGGCCAGTCATTCTGTTATTTAATTTTCTGGTTATTTGAGCTCCTGAGTTCAGCAAAAAAAAAATAGAGTCAAGTACCTTGACGATGACGATGATGATGATTTATTGAGCCCTTATTTTGTGCCAGGCACTTGCTAAGGACTTAAATTATCTCGCTTAGTCTCAGGATCACCCTATGAAGTTGGCAATGTTGCCTCCCTTTCCTAACGAAGAAGCTAAGGCCTATTGCAAAAGTTCAGCGAGATGCTGGTGGCTGAAGCAATCGTTCCTGCTCAGTGTCTTCCATGGCTCCTCGTTGCCCACAGAATAAAGTACAAACTCATGTTAGCTTTACACTTCCTGGCTTTATCCTCTGCTGTTCTCTTCCACGACCTGGTACTCCAGCCAGCTGAAGGTTCCCTCCTCCATGCCTTTGCCTATGCTATTTCTCCTGCCTGCCTTCCGTCTCCCCCACACCACATGTCCAACTCCTCACCATGCCTCAAGATGTGGGCCCAATGCCACCCCTTCTGTGAAGCCCACCAAGATTCCTCCTCCACTTCCGTTGGAATAACCCCTGACATTCTCTGAACATTAACCTTGTGCCAGGAACTACGCTACATGCTTGCCATCCATTTCATCCTTGTAATAACTCCTATCCAGCTAGAGTCGATATAAGTCCATTTTACAGATGAGAAGCTGGGTCTGGAGATAGTGTTCTATAGAGAGCACTGGAAAGGTGGAGAAAACCCGGATGAAGAAAGGCCCCCACATTCACCCAACTGAATTTGGATTTTGTCCTACAGGCAGCTGGGAGCTAGTGAGGATTTTAAGTGGGAGCATAATGGGATTTGCATTTTAGGAATGACCCCTCTGATTACAGTATAGAGTGTGAGGTAGGGACATGAGGGGCTGGGGCAGACGGATTGAAAGACTTGAACTAAATTAGAGTATTGAGAAAAAGATTCAGATTTGAGAGGCTATGGAGAGAAAATCAAAAGACCTTGGTGACAAATCAAATGGGGTGTAGGAGAGGGCATGACTGGAATGCTTCCTGGTCTCTGTCTTGGGCCATGGATAAATGCAGGTGCCCTTCCTCAAATGGAAGACACCAGCAAGAAACCGGTTGGGAATGGGAAGAAGACTGTTCAGTATTGGACTTGTTTAGTCTGAGGTGCCTGGGAGCTGTGAGTGTAGATGTCCCTCAGCATTTGGATAAATGGTTTGGAGCTCAGGAGTCACCAGCATGTGGATGGCAACTGAAGCAATGGACATGGATGAGGTCACCAGGGAGCACACAGATTGGCATAGGCTGCTGGGCCCAAGGTGAACCCTTCAGTTGCCAGAGAGTGGGAAGGTATGGGGAGAGTTCCCAGGGGAGTAGTCAGGGCAGCTGCAATGGTGGGTGGGAAGGACTGAGGAAGCTTAGGGGGCATGAGGCAGTAGCAGCTGCCTATCAATCAATTCAGAAGTACGTCAATATTTTAAGTCTGTCTGCATGCCCACTGATTGGGACTCAGTGCAGTGGTTGAGCGAATGGATGAATGCATAAATAAATGAAAGCATGACAAAATGTGTCGAGTATATAGAACATCAGTCCAATAATCAGATGATCTAAACGGTCCAAGAAAACAAGGGCAAAGCCACCCTTGATCTCTGCAGTGCCCCCACATGTTGTAGAAACAACCCACAAGCTCAGAGGCCTCCACCAAAACCACAAATGGGGCTGTGCACCTCCTCCAGGTGGTGTAATGAGGGGTGACACTCCATGATCTCAAATATGGTTCAAGTCAGAATTGCCTGTCCACTGGGGGGTTTACCCTTTCCTCTGACATGGCAAAGTTTCATTTAGTATTAATAACAGCAACCACATCCATTTATGAAGCATCTACTATGGGCCAGGCTCTGTGTGAAGTACTTTCACACACATTTGTGCCTTTAATCCTCCTAATAGCCCTCTGAGGTAGATAGTTTTGCTAGATGAGGAAGGTGAAGCTAAGAAAAGAGGCTGAGTGATCTGGACACAGTCACATGGCTCATAAGGGACAAACTTGGTTGCACACCCAGGTCTGTCCCCTGTTTCTTTTATCAGCTGGTGCTAACAGAAGGTCTGCAGCCTGGGATCTAGCTCCCTTCATTGACAGGAAACCTCACTGGTACTGAAGAACTTGGCCATTTCTGACCCAGAAGTAACCTGAATGATACCAGCCTTGTTCTGTCTACCCTGGGAGGCACACGGGAGGCTGCAGTGCCAAGCAGAGCTGGATCCTGATCTCTGTGATCACGGCTCCTCAAAGCGATCTAGTTACAGCAAACCCCTTCAAGGCTATCAGTGGGCAGGACACTGCTGGTCCATTAGTGTTTCCCTGATGGACTTAGCTGGGGATGGAGGGAGTTGGCAGTGGGGAGGAAGTAGAATTGTTCCCTCTCTGCCCAACTGTCTGGGAGGCTTGGCTTTCGGGGAGGGACATCATCCTTGTCCTCAGAGCTAGATGCAGGCTGGAGCTGTGGAGTGAGCACTGAATTCAATGCCCAGCTGTGTGACCATAGGAAAGATAGTATTCTTCTGTAGGTCTCAGTTGTCTTATCTGTTCAAAGGGGACAATTGGCTAGATTCTGTCATCCTCATCTTAGAGAACGCTCTGCAAACAAAAACAAGATCCTGACAGGGGCTGTCAGAGTTGTGGGTCTCTTTCCATTCCTGGGGTCAAGTGCGGGATGCTTCATGTGGTAACTCGTGGGGGTGGAGGCTTCATATGAGGAGTCTGTCCTCAGGATGGGGAGACACCAGCACAGGAGACTCATTCTCTTTCCACACTCTCTGTCCCTCCTTCTCATGCATGGTGCTGTTTGGGTGGGGCCCAGAGTTTCAGCCCTAGATGAGTAACTGCCCCCCAGAGTACGGGGGTGTCCTATGAATTAGACTGGCTTCCAGTACAGGGGACCCAGGACACTATAGACACATCCAATAATGTTCCCACCTGGGTTCACCATGATGCCCATGGAGGCCAGAAGGTGGGCTCTCACTGAAGCCAGCCCACCTGGTTCACATCTGGCCTTCCCGTTTACTAGCAGATGATTTCACTCTCTGGGCTTCTGTTTTCACATCTGTGAACTGAGACTAGAAAATACTTAGTCCTTATAGGGTTACAGTCAGGATTAAATGAGACAATATATGTAAAGAATTTGGACCCGTGCCTGGCCTTTTGTAAGCACTCAGTCAATGTTTGGAATATTATCCCTCAACACTGGGCTTCCTCAATTTCCTTCTCCCTGACTCCTGATATTTCCCTTCAGGAATTAATTTCCACAGTGATACTGGCCCCTTGCCATCACCCTAAATGACTCCTCCTCTGAAATCTCAAACCCCAGCATCTCTCCCCCTATCACTCTCCCATTCCCTGCCCTTTGACTTCTCTGATTCCAGCCCTGTGACTTTCCCTCTTCCCCAAGGTTATCACTATCTTCCTGGCCCCATTTCTTCCCCAATCCAGCCTACACACTTTGGTGTATCATGTCAGCCACCCTGCCAACATCTTCTGAGTCACCTGGTCCTGCTCGCATGATAATGCTGCCATCTTTAGCCTTGGGTCAATTTGATGCCCTAATATCTGTTATCCTACACTTATAGCTGGAGAGAATCACACCACCATGCATACTGATAGCAGTCAGACCCAAGGTCTCCAGCCTTAGCAGAGCCTTTGGGTCAATGACCTGTCTGTCTCTGGTTACCTCCCCTCCCCTTTGCCACCCCAGCCCTTATTTGTCAGCAACAAACCCTGCCCTCCACTTCCCTGGTGGCACGGAGGTCATGTAGCATAAGCCCACTCCCTTTCTTTGAAGTATTTCTATCGCTTCTTCCCTCATGGCCTCTCCTCCAGGCTGCCAGAGAGGGGATTCTTCTTTTGGAACACTGGATCTCATCTCTCCACTTCTCCAGGGACCTTCCCATCAATCATCCCTCTCTTTTGTACCTTCAGCCTCTCTATTTGGTCTTCCTATCACCAGCATCACCAGTTATCTTCAAGTGGCCAAGACAGTCGACACTTCCACCCTCATCTAATTTGACCTCTCTATGGCTTATAGCCACTCCCTTCTTCTTCAAACTCACATCTCCCTAGGAGTTTCTCCCTCTTTCCTAATTTTCCTTCCACCTCCTGGGAGGGGTTCTTTTTCAATCCTCTTTCCATCCATTTCCCTGTCCACCACTTCAATGTTATAGGTCCTCAAGACTCTCTCTAGGATGGCTTCAAGATAGTTGAGTTAGCTAACGAGGAGCCATCTTAGACTCTAACGTAAAGCAAAACATTGCTCCTAGCTTCTTAACCACTCTCTTATTAGTTCCCTCTTTCCCAAGCCTACTGCTTAATTCAGGTCCTCTTCATTTCCTGCCTGGACTATCACAATAACCTCCTGTGGGGTCTCCCAGCTCCCAGTCCTGCCTCCTTTATCCCATTTCCCATAATTCAGCTGAAATTTGGTTCAAAATTATGAATTGACCACATCACACCTCTACTTGAAACTATTTAGAGGTACTACCCCTGAGATCATCTTTTAGCTAAGTAACAGGCTGGTTCACCTGTAAGTATTGAGCTTCTTTAAAAACTCATCATCAAATGGTCAACAATTATTTTAAAACAAAGGTGAGAATATAAGGGGGCAGGGAAACTAGATTAGGGAACCTAAACTTCTGTGTAACCCTTCACTGAAAACACCATGATATTTCTTAAAAAACAAACTCTTCAGGAGTTCCTCAGGGCCCCTAGAATAAAGCTTAAATTCCTAGAGTAGTAGGTCCCTACTCCATTCCCTCCCTACCACACTCTCATACCCTTCTACTATGCCAAACAGACCATGTTTTAGCCACCTACTTCCCAAATGCCTAGCACGGGGCCTGATTCATAAAGAGACACATTTGTTCTTGGGAGATCCTAACCATCCTCTGCCATGTAGCAAGCTGCTGTGGAATGAATGAGTGAATGAATGGGCAGTGTTACCAAGTCTTAGAAGGTTTCCAGAACCCCTCTGCCCCCCATTGTGCCCCGAGCCAGATGAGGAGCTCTCCCCTGTGCTCCTACAAATGTTTGCTCTCCTGAATACCAAGCCCTTCCCTTTCAGCCCCTCCTATCACCCTGGACTGGACTGATCCACCAAAACAGAGATCTGACCACGCTCCTCTCCTGCTCCTGTGATAAACACATGACAACATGGATAAACTGGAAAACACGATGCTGAGCAAAAGAAGCCAGTCACAAAAGATGCATACTGCATGAGTCCATTTATATGACATGTCCACAACAGGCAAATCCATAGAGACAGAAAGAAGATTCGTGGTTTTGTAGGATTGGGGAGGATAGGGGTAGTAGGTAGTAACTAAAGGATACAGGGTTCATTTTGAGGTGATGAAAATGTTCTAAAATTGACTGTGGTTATGATTGCACATATCTGTGACTATACTAGAAACCATAAAACACTTTAAATGGGTGAGTTGTATGGTATGTAAATTATATATCAATAGAGCTGTTTTTATAGAACTTACAATGGCTTCCCATGCCCCATGAGTGAGACTCTGCTGTCACGTAAATACTATTACTATGTAGTAGCACTTAGTATGTGCTGGGGGTTGTTCTTAAGCACCTTATGTGGCTCATCTAATTTCTACCTGTCACAGCTCTATAATGTAAGTGTTATGATTATACCCATTTTACAGATGGGAATATTGAAGAAAAGAGAGGTTTGAGTGACTTGCCCAAAGCCACACAATACCATGCAGTTATGTCTAGCATGGATACTTCTCAAAGTGTGTTGTAAGGATCTGTTTACAAGCACTCCCCCTGGACTCCCCCTGGAGGGGGAATTGGCAGTGGTGTCTTGTTTAGCACAATGTTCCCTGCACCCAGCCCAGTGGCCCCTAGGCCTGATCCAAGAACCTTAAAAGGACATAGAGATGCACTGAGTTCAGTGGTCTCAGAGGCTTGATAAAGGCAGCTCCTGCCCAGCCTGTGTCCCTGGGTGGTGCATACAGTCAATGCACTTGGTTTCTAATCAGAAGATTGGAGGTTCAAGTCCACCCAGGAGTGCCTCAAGAAAGGCCTGGTGATCTCCTTCTGAAATATCAGGCACCGAAAACCCTGTGGAGCACAGTTCTTCTCTGATACACATGAGGTCACCATGAGTTGGAATCACCTCGGTGGCAACTCATTTACCCAGCCTGCACCCTGCCACCCCTGCCAGGAGATGGGTTCTAGCAACAGGATTCTAGCAACTGTTTTCTCCTGGGCCCTCGTGTGGTTTCTCTCCCCAAAGACTGCTTCCCCTCTAGGACCTTTTCTGGTAACCAAGATATTGGCCCAGGCCAAAGCTGCTTATTGCACCCCTGGGGCATGACTCTGATCCCAGCTGCCCCAGTGCAATGGGCAGCAGAGGAGACCCTTTGGAAGGCTTGCATCCTGGGCCCTACCCACTCCTGGGTTTTGAGCCGTGCCAAGTCTCTCAGATTCAGGAACACTCCTGTTGTCCCCTAAAGTCCTGGCTGGGGGTATGAGATTTAATGGGGGTCAGGGAAGGCTTCCGTGGCTAGAGACCAGGCCTCAGTGAAGTGGACAGAGATGTATAAGGAAACATGGACTTTCTCAGAAGACAACTTGGAGGTGGTAAGGGAGGCAGCAGGAGTGAGCACATCTCCTAGGGGTTTGGCAAAAGATGACTCAGCAGGGGGTTGGTATCTCCTGGTGTGAACAGCCTGGGGCCAGCGATTAACTTTCCCCTGCTCATACCTCATTCTGGAAGTCATGACTCTGCCCACTATCTCTACCTCTCTCTGGTTCCTGGACTTCAAAAGCCACTTGCCAACATCTACAACACTTTCTGTGGGACCCTCTGCTTGTTCTACTCCCATGATTCCGTTTCAGAACATGTAAGGCAATTTACTCAAAACCGTGCAGGACGAGAGTGAGAAGTGGAAGCCTAGCCCACACTCCCCTCTTTTTTGGCTCAGCGGCCATGCCCTCAGACATGCATTTTTCTCACCTGTGGCCTAGAGTCCCCCTGCCCTGCATGCAGATGCTGAAATCAACGAGACCACTGAGGTCCTGAGGGCTCCGATGAGAAGGCTCACTCCAAAGGAGCAGCAGCGAACTCTCCCCTCCTCTTGTGTCCCAGGGGTAGTAGACGAGCCTTGGGCCCCCCATGCATGGTAGGAAAGCCACTCCCAGCTCTTAGGAACCAGAACTGGCAAAGGCTCTTGGAATTCCCCAGTGGCTTAGGGCAGAGGCAGGGGTCTGGCTCCCCAGAAACAGAGACCCCAGGACCCCCCACTGTTTGCAACATCTGCTGAAACACAGCCCCACTTAGGGATGACCACCGCCAAAAGGCAAGCCCCCTTACTTGGCAGCCAGAAGCCTCAGGGTGGAACGAGAGCATTACCTGCCTCCCCTCATGCCCATTGTCTTTCTGTCCTGCAGGAGTTAGCTCCAGGCAGCTCCCTCTCCCCAGCAAGTACCTACAAAGTCAAGGGGTGAGGCCCAGGAGCAGAGATGGAAGAGGAAGAAACAGAAGCCCTGGCCTCTGGCTCCTTCTTCAAGGGGAAGCAATAGGCCAACTGAGAAAGGGGACCTTCTTCCCAGCCCCAGCACACAGCTCTCTTTCCTCCAGACGCTAGGCAGGGTGTTTGTGGCTGCCAGGAAACAGGCCTGCCAACTCCTGGTCCAGCCCCTGGCCCTGGGACACAGGGCAGCACTTACCATGATAGAAAAGATGAGCGGGATGAGGTTGAGGGGCCAGACAGGGCAGAAGCAAGAGGCGATAGCAAGGATGAGGTAATCTTTGGGGACCTCACGGTCCTGGGTATAGGAGGCAGTGGCGATAGAGGATGCCCGCCTTGAGCTGGCCCGGGAGGGCGACTTGGGGAGAGAGGACTCCAAGTGCCGCTCAGAGATCACCTTGAAGGGTAGGCTGTGGCCATTCTGCCCTAGGTCCAGGGCTCCCGAGAGGGATTTGGACAGCTTCAGGGTCTTGTCATTCTCATCCTCTGCCTTGGTGAGGAGCTTCTCCATCTCCGGCAGGTCCAGGGGTGAGGTGGTGCCTGGCTCCTGCGCCAGGGGAAACTGAGGCTCCACGGGGTTGGCCATGTTGTCCTGGGCTTTGGGCTGCTCCAACTCCAGGCCAAGACTAAGGGCCCCCAGAAGGACCTCAGTGCATCATTCCCAGCCCAAACTAGGGGCCTACGAGTGGGACAGAAGTGTCACCCAGGGGAGGGAGGCCCGGCTGGAGGGCTGGGAGGTCAGAATGAGCTCATCAAGGCTGGCTGAGTCCAGAGGCTGGGGCCTGCCTGCTGCCCCTGCAGAGCTCCTGGAAAGCTGGAGCAAAGCTGAAGCCTCCAGCCGTTCAAGTTGAGGCCAACTTTGCCGGCGCTGCTGACAGCACAGATGGGCGGGGAAGCGGCGGAAAGCTTGGAGAGCAGAGAGAAGTGCTCCTCTTCAGAGTGAGGCACTTAGGCTAAGTCAGGAAGGCTGTGTGTGTGTCTGTGTGTGCCCGTGGTGTGTGTGTGTGTGTGTGTGTGTGTGCACGCGTGCGCACGCACTCTCAAGTGCGCATACACAAGCCACATAGCCTCCCACCCACCCCGCCCTCCTGCCAAGATGCTTTTTCAGTTCCCCTCTCCCCAGAGAACTGCCCCAGCAGCATTCTGCCTCTGCCTCTGCCCGAGCCCAGAGGGACTTGGGCCAGCCTCTGGTTTCCACTGCAGCTCCAGGACTGAGCTGGGGGCTCCGGACAGGGAAAAAGAATAAATGGGTCACAGAAGGGTGTGTCAGCTCTGCTGGGAAACCAATCCCTTGGCATCGCTTCTAGCGGGAGTAGGTTTCTACTTCCTTCTATTCCTTGGATAACACCAGGCCCTGGGGCTATCCCATCCCACCCCACCCTCATCCCCAGCCTCCTGGGGCATCCAGGCCAGAGTCTGGCTCCTGGCTCCATCAGGGAAAGGTTGCTATGAGCTCCGTTGTGGTCAGTGGAGGGTCCCTGCCTAGATCAAGGTGTGTGTGTGGCGGGGGAGGGGACACTGAATGGTCTTCTAAGCAGTTCAGATGGTGAGGGATGGACAGGAGGGGATATAAGGAGGAAGGGTGGGTCCAACCCAGCCCGTCAGAGGTTTTCTGTGATGTAAAGAGCAGGCCTACAAAGCTGCTCCGGGCAGATGCCAGCTCATCAGCTCGAGGGTCTCGGCTCTCCTGTCTGTCCTGAGTGTCTCTCTGTCTTTGCCCTCTCTTATGTCTCCTGTCTCTCTGGTTGTGCCATTGCATTCTCTGCATTGCACTGCACTCATTCTCTATGTCCCTGATCTCTCTCAGCACGTTCATTTACAAGGGTGATCTGAAACCACCGGGGGAAGGGGTGTTTTAGAGGAAGGTATAGGAAATAGTTTAGCATCCGAGGGTCCTGCATGATACTGGACAGGACGTTAGAGCTGGAAGGATCCTCAGTTCAAATCCTTTGATTTTACAGATTAGAAAACCAAGGCCCTGTAACAGAAAGAAACATCCATCTCAAACTGTATCCCAAGCAGACAGCAAACCGTGGTCTTGGTCCCCAGATTAGTTTGCAGCAAAATGAACCATGTTAGTGGAAAGAAAATTGGTTTGGGGTTCCATGTCAACCTGGCTTTAGAAAATGCTGCTTCCAGCAAAGTAAGGGCAGATGAGGTGGAGGAAGGGGGTGACCAAGCAGAATGAGTGAGGAGCAGATCACAGTGGGATGGAAGGAGAGGAGCGGACGAGCCATAAGCTGGGGCCAGCCTGAGGCTAAGCCTGAGAAGCTGAAAGGCCACTTGGAGACAAATGCGTTGCTTATTTTAACTATTTCGTTTGCAGTGTGGGGAAAATTTTCTAGGGTTGATAAATTTGACTATATTAAAATTAAGATTTTTTACTCAATAAAGAAAACCCATTGTTATTTGCAAAATGCAGCCTTGCAGTGAAATTGAGGCCCCCTGACCTGCTGGGGAAGGACCGCCTCCTCCTCATCTCGGTCATGGGTAGCCCTTGCCCCCAGGTCAGTGGTGGGAAGGGAGCAGCCAGCACTCCTCTGCCAGGAATTTCCAGAAATATGCTAAAGCCTTTATTAATATGAAATCTCTTTCAAAGGGGGGGGGGTGGCAGTTGGATCTCTAAGATCCCCTAGGCTCTAAGTCAGTATATAGCTTGGACAGAATTCCATGTCACAACCTGACCACTGTAGTTTTGGTGGGACTGAGGCCTTCCACAAGACCTAAAGTTGCTCCTCCCCCTTTGGTAGCTACTCGCCATGTTTGAGGACTAAGGTGCACTTCAGACAAGCCATGGTATTTTCAATCACCTCATATGCACATGCAAAAGCTTGAAAATGAATAAAATATCAAATATACCACGGACCGCCAGAAGAACAAGCAAACCTGTCTTGGAAGAAGTACAGCCAGAATGTTCATTAGAAGCGAGAACGGCGAGACTTTGTCTCACGTACTTTGGACATGTTATCAGGGGGGACCAGTCTCTGGAGAAAGACATCATGGTTGGTAAAGTACAGGGTCAGCAAAAAAGAGAAAGACCCTCAAGGAGATGGAATGACACAGTGGCTGCAACAAGGGGCTCAAATACAGCAATGACTGTGAGGATGGCACTGGACTGGGCAGTGCTTCGTTCTGTTGTTCATAAGATCACTCTGAGGCCACAGCACCTAACAATAACAAAGCCACATGTAGCTACTGAGCACTTGAAATGTGGCTCGTCCAAACTGAGATGTGTAGTAACTGTAACATACACACTGGATTTCAAAGACTGCACAAAAAAGGAATGTACAATATCTCAATTCATATTATATACTGAAATGATCATATTTGGGGTATATTGGGCTAAAAAACATTTAAATTAATTTCACCTGTTACTTTTCTAAAGCTCTTGTGGCACAATGCTTAAGGCATTTGACTGCTAACCAGACGGTTGGGAGTTCAAAGCCACCAGCTGCTCAGCGGAAGGAAGATGGGGCAATCTACTTCTGTGAAGATTTACTGCCTCGGAAATCCAAAGGGGGTCGCTATGAGTCAGAATCAACTCAATGGCAGTGGGTACCAGAAAATTAAAAATGTACTTTGCATGATATTTCTATTGGACAGTGCTGGCCTAGAGGACAGAATGAACGCAACATAGAGGGGCCTTTTTGACAAGGAAAATCCAGGGTGGCCTGTGGCAGAGACAACCTGGATGGGCTGAGATTCAGGGGCAATGAGATGCTAGGTTTGTAGTGCCATCTAGTGGCCCAGTGGTTCCGTGAAGGACCGGGGCAGAGAGAGGGGAAAATGATCAGCCTGTTTAGGTTCCCCGGGTTCCTAAACTGGTGAGTCCGGCCTGGCCTCCCGCAGCTGCGCAGAGTCCCGCTCCAATCTGCAGGCAGCTCCCCGTTTAGGTCTCAACAGAAGCTGGGCGAGTCTCCTGTGCCTGCTGTGACAGATCGCCACAAACTTGACAGCTTAAAACAACAGAAATCTGTTCTCACAGCTTTGGAGGCCAGAAGTCCAAAATCAAGGGCCAACTCCCTCAGAAAGCTCTAGCAGAGAATTCTTCCTTGCCTCCTCCTGGTGGCTTTGGGCTTTTCTTGGTGTGTGGCAGCATAACACCAAACTCTGTCTTCTCATGACCTTCTCCCCTGTGTCTTCTCCTCTTCTGTCTCTTATAAGAACACTTCAGTAGATTTAGCGTCCACCATGATAACCCATCTGTGGTAGTTAAGGTTATATGTCAACTTGGCTGGGCTTGGTTGAGTGGCTGGGTAGCTGGATGTAGGGATTTCCCATGCTAAGACTGGTAATCAACTCCATGGTGGAATTTACTGTGAGCAGCTAAGTAGCTGCCTTAGGGATATGGTCTGCTCTCAATATATAAGAAGATGCTTTGAGAAAGGTCTCAAGGTTTTTGGCACAATTGGACACTGCATGTAGTTGAGTCTTTATTCAGCAGCCTGCTGATCTTGGGATTGTTTCTGAACTTGAACTAGTGACCTGCCGTGTTGCTTAATAATCTTGGGACTGTGGTATTTTAAAGAGCTCTGGTGGTATAGTGCCTAAGGCATTTGACTGCTAACCAGAAGGTTGGCAGTTCAAACCCAACAGCCACTCTGCAGAAGGCAGACTAGGCAATCTACTTCTGTAAAGATTTACCACCTTGGAAACCCAAAGGGGGTTGCTATTAGTCTGAATCCACTTGATGGCAGTGAGTGTTGACTTGTTGACCTTGGGTTTGTCAGCCTCAGCAGCCAGGCAGCTGCCTGAGTTAAGAGACACCTCCAGCTTCAGTGAGCCGAGACTAAGAGGCAGAGGTGAAGCCCAAGGTTGAGGAGGCTTCACCCAGCCCCTAGAGCTGTCACTTTGAACTCAGACTTCTAGCTTCCTAAACTGTAAGAGACTAAATCCCTGTTTGTTCAAGCCATTCATTTGTGGTTTATCAGTTACAGCAGCACTAGAGAACCAAAACACCATCTCATCTCAAGATCCTGAATTAATCTGCAAAGATCCTCTTTCCAAATAAGCTTACCTTCATGGATTTCAGTGGTTAGGACATGGACAAACGTATCTTTTTGAAGGCCACCATTCAATCCACTACATTCAACCCATACAAAATGAGTATGACCTGTGCAGTATTGACTTAAGATGTTTTTTTAAAAAATTGATTTCATGTAAAAGTTGAGGTTTCAGAATTTTAACGTGATCTGAGAACCTGGGGCCATTTCCTGCAGAGCAACAAACAGCTGGCCAGATGCAGCCTTTAGAAGGGCACTGAGTTCCTCAGCCAACTCTAGATTCACATAATCCACCTGGCCTAGCAGGGCCTGAATTGTGAGCCCTGGTCCAGCTGGACAAATGTATCTGCCTCTTTCTGATCGACAGCTGGCAGGCCTAGGCTGCTTGCTCATGGTTTCTGCACAGGGAACTGAAGGAAGCAACTCTCCTCTTCCTCTTTGGACTGTGAGCTCCTGGATGGGGCAGGTACACCCCAGGCCCCTAGCCCAGGAGTGCCTGGCTCACAGTAAAGGCTAGCTAGATGAACAGGAGCAGGATGAAAGCACCAAGCAAGTGCCCAGGGTGTGTCCACGCCCACACTAATTCCATCTCTGCCCGCCCTGCCTTCTCTGCATCTAGAATTAGGATGTTGAGGTTAGGAATGCAAACAGCAGAGGGAAGTGGATGTGGATACTGTACTTTTGGGAATGGGGTGGGGCAGAGATGCATGCCTCCGGAGCATAGGTACATGTGAGCCTAATCCAAGGAGAAGAGGTAATAAAGCCCCTCATACCTGTGTTTCTTATCTTTGGCATCTCACTGGGTGTCAGGGAAACCCTAGAGGGCTGACAGGGCAGGTGTAATTAACTAAATTCCTCTTTCAAGGAAGGCTTCCTCAGCCCAGCCCACCCTGCTTCAGGAGCTTCCTGGTGACTGCACACACACACACGCACACGCACACGCACACGTGCACGCACGCACACACACATGAACGCGTCATATATAAGGGAAGGGGCTGGTATTTGCGCTTGCTAAAAGGAACCAGGAAACTGAGTACATGAAAGCTCTTTGTGAATTGTAAAGCTATTTTAAATACTGTAATTGTTATTATTCACTGTCCTTTAAAACTATGTCTCCTCTGAACACAATTTGTGTGGGCTCTTATTATTAATCTTATACATAATTTCTCTCTTTGTGTGTATAAACTCATCATATCTTTTGGCCATAACTTTTAGCAGCTCTGTCGCACATGTGTGTTGTCCCTTTCTGGTACATTCCTTTTTATATTCATTTAATCCATATTATTATACCAGAATTTTTTCTCTATTTGGACAAACCCGTCTGGTCTTGGTTGGTAACCCCCATTTCCTTAATAATCATAAATTTACCTTCTCTTCATAGCAAATTTGTAATCTTGGATAGTGGATTTGATCTTGGGAAGTAGATTTAAGAAAAAAAAAATCAAGTGCACCCTCCAGAAAACCTAGAAGGCGTATAACTATGGCTATATACATAACCTACAAAACCTATTGCTGTCAAGTCGATTCTGACTCATAGAGACCCTAGGATCCCCCAAAACATCAGGAAGAGGAGGGGTGCCTGTTTGATCAGTATGTAAATATCCAGAGGGCTCTATAAGCACACACATGTGTGCAAGTTAAAACATATCTCATCAAACAAACAAAAAACAGTTGCCAACAAGTCCATTCTGACTCATGGTGACCCCATGATCTCAGCTAGAATTGCACTCCATAGGGTTTCAAAGTTGTGACCTTTATGGAGCAGTTCACAAGGCCTTTCTTCTGCAGTACCTCCGGGTGAGTCAAACCATCAGCCTTCAGCTGGTAGTCATGCGCTTAACCATTTGCACTACCCAGGGACTCCAAATCCACATCAGCATGCACACATACAGATGTGTGCATACCTGAGCACTAATAAAATAATAACTAGTGGTTGTGCACTTTACAGTTTATGAAACACCACCCCATACATTCTCTGTCTACAACCACCTTATAAACAGAATACATCTTAATAGCTTCCAAGGAGCTCTGGTAGGGCTGTGATTAAAGCATTGGGCTGATATCCAAAAGGTAGATGGTTCAAACCCACCAGCCACTCCACAGGAGAATATCGAGGCAGTCTCTTCCATAAAGATTTACAGCATTGGAAACCCTATGGGGCAGTTCTACCCCATCCTACAGTGTTGCTATGAGTCAGAATCTACTCAATGGCAATGAGTGGTGTATAGCTTCCACTCAGTGAGTGCTTCTATGGGCCAGGCTATGCTAAGTGTTTAAAATGCACTACCTCAATGTGCACAGCAGCCTGTTGTTGTTGTTGTTGTTATTTGCCATCGAGTCGGCCCCGATTCATAGCAACCCCTCCTTGGGTTTCCGAGGCAGTATCACTACGGAAGTAGGAATGCCCAACCTTCCTTCCGAGGAGTGGCTGGTGGGTTTGAACCACCAGCCTTCTGGTTAGCAGTCAAATGCCTTAGGCACTATGCTACCAGAGCTCCTGCACAGCAGCCTAAGAGGTAAATACTGTTTTTAACCCATTGTACAGATAGGGAAAGCAAGGTTCAACCAATATTCAAAGCAGTTAGGTAGGTGGTTTGCCCTATGTTGTTCAGCTGATAAGTGGAGACTGAGAAGTACTTTTGCCTCCAAACCCAAGGAGGGGTCGCTATGAGTTGGTCCGACAAGACAGCACATAACAACAACAACTCCTGGAACATAGGGAGCTCTGGTGGCATAGCGCCTAAGGCATGTGACTGCTAACCAGAAGGCTGGCGGTTGAAACCCACCAGCCACTCCTAGGAAGGAAGGTTGGGCAATCTACTTGCATAGTGATACTGCCTCGGAAACCCAAGGAGAGGTCACTATGAGTTGGATCCGACCCCACGGCAGTGAATTTGGTTTGGTTTGGTTTGGTTCCTGGAATGTACACATCCACTGCACAATCATGCTGCCGCCTGTAGGGGGCACCCTTATAACTCCCAGGCTAAGAGTGCTGCTGGAGAGGTAAAACCTCATCTATTTCTACACTGGAAGTTCAGAAAGCAGAAGCTGCTGGTCATTTTATCTCATTTCCAGAAAATAAAAACCTGAAGCCAAACCAAGGACAAGCAATGTCCTGGCAGGCCTATCATAAAATTATAATGATACATCAACAACTATTTACTGAACATCTTCTAAGTGTCAGAAATCGTATATTATAAATCATTATTCATGTCAGAGGTGAGGAACTAGGGGCTCAGAGTGGTTAAGTGACATGATGGGTCACACATCTAATAAGGGGTAGAGCAGATATCAGATCCCAGGCCCATCCGGCTCTTTCCACTGCCAAACCAGGGCACTGCCTTTCCATGAGGGGTATGGCTGGTGGGCATCTTGCTCCAGCCTGGACCCATGACCCCTGTGACCCAGAGTCAGAGCAGTCTTGTGGTCTGTGCTGCAGCCATCTGTCCTGATCGTGAAATTGGGAGCTGTAGAACCTGTGGTTTGGAGAGAGGAGGACAAGCCATCCAGCCTCGCAGCGTTTGCAGCAAAGGCATCTTTAGTTACAGTGGTGAACCTCACCCGCCTGTTCTGGAGAACCCTCCCTCTTCCCTGGGCCTACGCCTAGAAGCACGGAGTCCCCCATTCCCAGCTGGCTATGTGTAAGCCTTCCCAGCTGGCAAGAGCCCAGCTCTCTAAGGCGACCAGAAAGCCCTCAGCCCTCCCCTGGCTGAGGGTCCTCACTCTAGTATTAGTAGAACCTCCTTCATCAGTCCAGCTGCCCTGAGTAAGGGCAGATACTGGCCTGAGGGCCCATCTTAGACTCGGGGCAGCTCTCCAGACTGCTCCCACACCCTCAGCAGCCTCTCTATATAATCTTCCCTGGGTTCCAGGTCTGCCCGTCATCACAGAGGCCCTGGCTGCAATGGGCCACTCTTCCCTGGGAGCTCCAGCTGCCTGTCACTCAGGGTATAGGCAGGACTTGTGTGCCATCAAGTCGATTCCTACTCACAGCAACCCTATAGGATAGAGGAGAATCTCCCCAGAGGGTTTCCAAGGCTGGAATATTTGTGGAAGCAAACTGCCACGTCTTTTTCCCACAGAGCAGCTACTGAGTTTGAACTGCTGACCTTTCTATTAGCAGCCAAGCACTTAGTTACTGCACCAGCAAGGATCCCTTCCTGACCCCCAGTCTCTGGCCCTGCTGTCAGCATCCTTCCCAGAGACTGGTCCAGACTCAGCTTTCATTGCAGCCCCCATCACAGTTCACTGCAGACAGCGGCTCTGCAGGGAGGTCCAGAGATGAGGCTGACCACATCCTAAAACTTCCAGGCCCCATTCCTCACCCACGGTGCTCAGTCACTCCTGCAGTCTTGCCATGAACCAACACTCCCAAGTACCTACCTACCTACCTGTGGGCTTTAGGCTCTGACCCAAAGTTCCAGGTTAAGCCCCAGGCCTTTCTGCCACCCTGGGCCACTGACCCTAGAGGAGTGGTGGCAGCAGACAGAGAGGATGTGTTTTCCTTTTTATTTGCCTGCTTCTGATAGCCTCTCCCAGATCACAGACTTGGGGCAGCAGTCGGGGGCTGTGGGGGGTAAGGACCCCACACTGTGCCATCAAACCACATCAGGTGCCCACCCACACACAAGTCCCCTGTCCAAAAGCCCCCATTCTCCTAAGAAGCAGCAGAGGAAACTGCACTCAGAGGCACAGGTATGAAAAGGTCACTCTCCAAGAAATGTTCAAGGGGCCCGAAGGGAAGAGCCAGCCAGGATCCTGCTCCATTCTCCCAGCTGCCCCTTAGGCTTGGATTTTGGGGATGCACCCCCAACCCCCAGTGTTTCCACCACCGGCAAGGCCGCTTCCGTGTCTCTCAGCCCATTCAGTTTTCCTCTGTCCGGGACGCTTTTGCAGTCATCCTGCCAGTCTCTCTTCCAAGGGGGGACTCCCTCCAAACGCTCTGTGGCCGGGTCAGGAGTGCTGGTAGCCCAGCCCTGGGCCCGCTCGCAGGTAGCTCCGTGGCCACGGAAGCGGCCCGCTAGAGGCAGCCCCTGGGCATCTGTGCCAGCTTTCCCCAGAGGCCAGGGCCAAACCTGGTGCCTCCGCCACCGCCCTGGGCCTTCCCAGGTGCGTGTGCGGGTAGCACGAGGCGCAGCGCGGCGCGGGAGGCGACAAGGGGCAGGCAGCGTCCCGGCGTGCGAGACTGGGCCGGGCGGGCGGCGGTGCCTGCCGCGGCGGGCTGAAGCCCGCGTCCCCGGCGTCCCCGGCGTGCGCGGCTTGCCCATTGCACTCCAGGTGCCCGCAGGGCCAGCGGGGCGCGGGGCTGGCGCGCAGGACCAGGGAGAGCGCCGTGATGCGGTGGATGGCCCTGCGCAGCGTGGCGATCTTGGAGAGCCGCTTGCCGCCCAGGTCGTGTCGCAGCGCCCGGCGAAGCGCGTTGAAGGCCTCATTGTAGTCCAGGATGCGCTTGCGCTCGCGCACGTTGGCCGCCATGCGCCGTGCCTTGGACCGCACCGGCCTGGGGCGCTTCCTAGCGGCCGCCTCCTCGGCCTCGCCCAGGCTGCGGGGGGCGCCATTCTCTCTCAGCACCCCAAAATCCCTCCCGACTTCCAGGCAAGAGCCTTCCACGTCCTCTGCAGAGCCCTCGGCCCTCTTCAGGCCCCTAAGGCCTGGTGCTGGCACGCCTCGGAGCATGGCCTTCTCTTGGCCCCACTGCTCTGGCTCTGTCTCTCAATGCCGACAGTCCACCTTCTGAGTGTTGGCTCCAGTAGGCTGGACACCCCCCTGACGGGCCTTCTCTGCCTGGGTTTTATGGCGCCACGTGGCTCCCCGCCCTCTCCATCTATCCATCTCCCTCCTTCGGCTTTATTACCTGCCCCCAGGTAGGTTGGCGAGGGAGGATCCAGAGGAAGGAAGCATGCAAGGAAGGAAGCGTGCAGATTCTTGTATCAGGGGACCAGACGGGCAGCTCAGCCACGCCCGGGGCAGTGCTCCAGCCACTGCCACAGAGAACTCACCTTGCCTCACTCCAGGGCCTCTTTGGGGAAGCTGGGTTCCACATTCCAACTCCTGACCCCAGATAGAGCGCCAGATTTGGCTTCCGGCCACAAGAGCTGATAGGCTCGCAAGAGTCACAGTGGTGGGTTGGGTCTATTTCAAGAACCTTGAAAGTTCTTGTCAAGTCCTGTCTGCAGCCACCCACTGGAGGCAGGAGGTCACAGAACTGTCACTGAGAAAAGCATGCCTGTGTCAGCAGAGCGGATAAGGGAGAGGCAGATCTTACAGAGAACATAGCCTGGCCCTTCAGGTAAGAACTGGGAGCTTCTAGCTTTTTGTAGCTACCAGAGTGAGGCTACCTCGAATTCTGGGTTTGGGTTTTGATTGAGCTTTCCTTTCTTCCCACCTCAGTTTGGCTCCCTCTTCGGCAGCCAGAGCTGGGCTGTTGTTATTAGGTGCCATCTAGTCAGCTCCAACTCATAGCGACCCTATGTACAACAGAAGAAAATGCTGCCTCGCCCTGCACCAGCCCCCCACCCCACCCCCACCCCCCCGTCCTTGTTATACCTGAGCCCACGGTTGCAGCCACTGACTGTGTCAGAGCAGGGCTGAGGCAGCAGCAAAGGGGGTGGAGAGGATGATCTCGTGGCCCTCTGGCTCCCCCTGTGGTACTCATCAGAAGCAGCTCTTGGGGTCCAGGGCCCTTGGGCATTCCTGCTTCCTGCCACAGGACTGCCCTGTTAGGAACTGAGTGTATCACTCCCTACCCCTGCGGATCTGAATTTTAAACAACGTTTAAAAAAAAAAACTATAATGGTTAATCCAAGAGAACAAGCTCTTAATGGTGCTGTCTCAGGCATCAGCAGGTGAGTTATTTGGAGTACCTTCAGTCAATCTCGTTTGCTGCCACAATCCACATGCCACCAAAATGCCAGGCCCTGTTATATCCTTAGCTAGGATGAGTATGTGGTTCGCTTCCACTTTGCCAAAGAATGTACACATAGCCCCATTATTTTCAAATTGTGCATTTCCCCACGGAGGAGCACAGTACTAGGAAACAGAATACGTGCATTTATTTCTGTGATTATTTGTTTTATTACCTGTGTTGCCTACTAGACTTTAAGCATTCTTAGTACGTTTGTATTTCCAGGGCTCTATTTCCCAAATCTTCAATACATGCAAATTGAAAAAGTGAATGGAAGTATTTAGACTGAATGTTTTTTCTACTCTAAAGCCAGTTGCTGTCAAGTGCATTTTGATTTATGGAGCCTCATGTGTGTCAGAGAACTGTGCTCCATAGGATTCCAATGGCAGATTTTTTGGGAAGTAGATCACCAGGCCTTTCTTCCAGGGTGCCTCTGGGTAGATTTGAACCACCAAACTTTTATTTTTATTTTTTTAAATTGTGATTTGGGTGAAAATTTACAGAGCAAATTCACTTTCCATACAGCCGCTCACATATACTTTGTCTCATGACATTGACTACAATTTCCCACAATGCAACAGCTCCTCTCCCACTTCCTCCCCAAAGTTACCTCTTCCCTGTGTCCTTCCCTCCCATGAACTCCTGCACCCCCCAGCTGCCTCCCTGTACATACACAGCCCTTCTATTGTCCCTTGATTGTTCTCTCCAAGGAGAGTATCTACCTAATGCATATGTTCAGCTCATATGCCTGTCTTTTGTTTGGCTGGAAGCCACAGGACTAGGTTCAATTTGAGACCTGAAGGGCAGCTAGGGGCCATAGTCTCAGGGGTTCCATCAGGCTCTATCAGACCAGCAAACCTGGTCCTTTTTTTTTTAATGATTTTGAGTTTTGTTCCACATTATTCTCCCACTCTATCCAGGATCTACTACAACCACCTCCGAGTGGTTGACAGTGGTAGCCGGGTACCATCTAGTTCTTCTGGTCTCATAGTCATATAGACTGGGGGTTGCATGGTGTACCGTTGCTTGGACTAATTGTTTCCATGCATCTTTGGTTTTCTTCATTCTTCTTTGCTCTGGATGAGGAGAGACTCATTGTTGCATCTAGATGGCTGCTTGCAAGCTTTTAAGATCCCAGTCACTACTCGCCAAAGTAGGATGTAGAACAATGTTTTATGTAGTATGTTATGCCAATTGCGCAACTATGGTCCTGAGCCCACTGAACAACCAAACTTTTGGTTAGTAGCTGAGTGTGTAATTGTTCGCACCACCCAGAGACTCCTTTCTTCTCTCTGTTCAGTGTGTTTCTTACCTTCCTCACAACACCCACCCACACAGACACACACATTCATTCCTCATGCTGGATTCTACCCAGAATGTAAGCCACAATTCTGAGCACTCATGTCTACCCATCCAGCCAAGTCATAAACACAAATGTCAGTCAGTCTCTCCGGGTCCCAGAAGAAGAGGCAGGACATTAGGCCAAAGCCCAGACAATCTGGTTCCTGCTTTTGGGTTGAATGTCACCCTCCATGGCTATCTCTGCCCCACACTCCTACCCCATGTCCATTAGCTCCTTGATGCCACTCTAGAGAGTTGAGTTACTGCCCTGCTTCCTCAGACACTGGGACTCAGGGCCTTGCCCAGCTGTCAGAAAGAGTTGGTTCCCGGAAACAGTGGTGAGCACACCAGGGGGCAACAAGTAGACTTTTGAGCCTTGTGGTAGTTAAGTTGTGTGTCTTCTTGTCTGAGCCTAGCTTTGAGTGGCTGGCAGCAGATGTAGTTATGCCCCAAGATGAGACTAGTAGTCACCTCCATGGTGGAATCTACTGGAGCAGCTGAGTAGCTGCCTTAGGGTTGTGGTCAGCTTCCAGTATATAAGAGGAAGCTTTAAGAAAGATCTGCTGCTTTTTGGCACACACACTTGGATCCTGCGTGTAGCCAAGTCTTCATTCAGCAGCCAGACATGTTTCCTGCTAATGTTGGGACTGTCTCTGGACTTGAACTAATATCCTGCCATGTCTGTTTGGTAATCTTGGGACTGTGACATTTTGTCAACCTTGAGTTTGTCAGCCTCAGCAGCCAGCAGCTGGCTGAGCTAAGAGACAACTCCAGCCGGAAGCAAGAGGGAGAGCTGAAGCCCAAAGTCGAGGGGCTTTCACCCAGCCCCTATAGTTGGCACTTTGAACTCGGACTTCTAGCCTCTTAAACTGTAAGAGAATAAATCCCTGTTTGTTCAAGCCATCCACCTGTGGTATTTCTGTTAGAGCAGCACTAGAGAACTAAAACAAGCCCCAAAATGGCTAGGTGGGAGAAACAGTTTGATGGATAGCCCCCCACACACACACATACACACACTCCTTCCTGGATCCAGGGTGCAGTTGGACACATGAGTGCCTCCCTCCAGGTGGAGAGTAGAAATTCCACTGGACTGGGAGTCAGGAGACCTGGTTCTGGTTCTGCCACCAACTTACTTTGTGACCTTGTGTCTATCATGTCTCCCTCTCTGCACCTCAGTTTCCTTCTCTTTCCAAAGAAGATATCCTCTCTGTGAAAGAGTGTAGACAGAACCCACTACATAATTTGCAGGTCCAGTGCAAAATGAAAATGTGGAGACCCTGGTTCAAAATATGAAGAATGTCAGGATGATGACAGCAGAGCTTTAAGCCAAGTGTGGGGCCCTTCTAAGCATGGGGGCCAGTGCCACTGTATAGGTCACATACCCAGGGAGCTGGCCCTGATGTAAGACACAGTATGTAGTTGTAAAGAGCAGGAGCTTTGGGTCTGAACTCATCTAGACACGTGACTTTGCCACTTTCTTTCTATTTTTTTTTTTTAATTGTGATTTGGGTGAAAGTTTACAGAGCAAATTCACTTTCCATACAGCAGCTCACATACACTTTGTGTCATGACATTGACATGACACAAATGCAACAGCTCCCTCCTACTTCTTCCCCATAGTTACCTCTTCCCTGTATCCTTCCCTCCCATGGACTTTGCCACTTTCAAAGACATGACCTGGAGAAATCTCTGAATCTCTGAGAGTGATGCTAGCCTCAGAGACCACAATGAGATGGAACTCAGTAGAGACTGTTCCTCAAGAAATACATCTACCGATGGCTTAACTCTCAGCCAAACAATAGATAGGCCTGTGACCTGAACACCTTCACCAGGGAGGTGCATTCCTTAGAACAGTCAACCATGGGAGGTCAGAAGGGCAGCATTTGCACAGGGAGAAAGGTAGGGAGGCAGGAATGCAAGGCAAGAGAACACAGGGAAAGGGTCACCCTAGGGAGGAAGTGGGGAGTGAGCTGTTACACTGCAGGGAATGTAACCAGTGTCCCAAAATGAAATGTGTATGAATTGTTGAATGTAAAATAAATCTGCTTTGTAAAATGTCACCCAAATCACAACAAAAAGTTTAAAAAAAAAAAAAAAAAAGACAAAGAAATACTGCACCTGGTTATCTTGAGGATGACTATAACTCCTAAGTGTGACCATTAACAGGCTTCCCCTCATCTGTGATGTCCCCCCGAAACCCAGAGCATCCCTTACCTCCACAGAAGGATAGAGGTGACCTGTCTGTGGGCTTCCTTCCTCACTGATCTCCAGAGCAGCTTCAGAGAAGGGAGACTCTGCCTGGGCCAGTGCAGGAGCTGGATGGTAAACCAGTCACGTGATAAACAAGCTTAAACTGCTTCCAGGCTTTTCCATCCTCCAGTGACTCAGCATTCCAAGACCTCACAATCCCACCATGGACAGGATGCTGCTT